GCTGGTGGCCGGTGGTGCTGTGGGTGCTCGGGCCGCCCGCCCGCGGCCTGGAGGGTGAGTGCGGCGCCGGGGAGGTGGGGCACCCGGGCGGCGCGCTGCCCCGGGTCCGGGCCCTCGGCCGGCTCTCCTGGGTGTCGCCCCACGCGCTTCTCCCGTCCTAGGCCCGACCTTCGCCCCCTGTGACCGTGACCGTGACCGTGACCGTGCGGGGCGTCCACGCCGGGCTTCTCGCGGCCCGCGCAACCTCAGGTCACCTTGTCAGGCATCTGTTGGGAGCGGAGAGGCTTACGCCCCGATTTGGGGTGGCATGTGGTGAGCACTTTGGAAATCGGCTTGATAACCATGGCCAGTTGTACCCTGACCCCCCCGTGACCCTCCTGTGCACTGCAGAGCCAGGCACCGGCCTGCCCTGCGCCGTGCTTCCCAAGCGTTCTTGCTCCTGAACCTGTAGTTGCTGCCACTGTTTTCCACCCATCACCTCGATGGACTGGCACTTTGTCTCTCACCGCCTACCAAGCATGATGCCCCTTGGCAGAGACGGGTCTCTCCCGGAAACGTGTCCAAAGTGTACGAGCCAAAGTCCTACACTCCTTTTCAAAGAGCATCCTGGCTGGACCTTCTTCCAGCACACGTTTGTTTTGCTGGCAGTCCACGGCATGCTGCACGTCCTTCGCCAACGCTTGACCTTCCTTTTTCATTATCTGCCGTTTTGCATTGGAAGTGATTGAAAATACTGTCACCTGGGCCAGGCCTGAAACTGACAGCTGCGCTTTTCGACCCTGTGAAGAGATCTTTTGGCGCAGACTGCCCAGTTAAATATGTTGTCTGGTTCCTTGACTGTCGCTTCCATGAGCATTGCTTTAGGGTCCACATAAAAGAAGAGCCTGTGACCCTGGACGAGCGGCCCTCAGAGAGGTAGGATGTCATTGTCCAGGGACTGTTCCCTTCCAAGTGTCCAACACGAGACCAAGTCTCAGCATCCTTGCCTCAAAGGAGCATTCTGGCCGGACTTCTAAGATTTCTTCAGTATTCTTCGCCAGCGCCACAATTCAAATGCATTCTTCAGTCTTCCTTATCTAATGTCCAACTTTCGTAGGAGGCAGTTGAACATCCCATGGCCTGGGCCAGGTGCACCTTAGTCCTCAAAGTGACATCTTATCAATACTCTGAGGAGACCGGGTGCAGCAGATTTACCTTGCTCTCTCGACTGCTGCTCCTGTGAACATTGGTTGTGGATTCAAGTAAGACGAAATCCTTGGCAACTTTAGCCTTTTCTCCACATATCAACATTTCTCCATATAGCCTATTGGTCTAGTTGTGAGGAATTTGGTCTCTACATTGAGCTGTAATTCATACTGAAAGTTGCAATCCTTATCTTCATCAGCAAGTGTTTCAGGCCCTCCTCACTTTCAGCAAGCAAGGTTATGCCATCTGTATGTCAAAGGTGATATTGTAGGTTAGATTTCTACAATTTTGTAGCAGTACTTTTTGACTTACCCTTCCATCTTCTTTTTGCTGGTTGTAGAACTCCAGGTTGATGGTTTTTTACTGTTAGTACTTTAGAGTTGGTTTTCTGGCTTGTATTGTCAC